GAGGTGTGGGGCAGGTGGGGAGGTGTGGGGCAGGTGAGGGGCAGGTGCGGGCAGTTGAGGGGTGGGTGGGGGAGGGGGGGGGCAGCCGGAAGGCATTTGGTGCGTGTGGGCCCTGGCTCCACGCAGCGGGTGCACCCTTTCCCCAGCAGGGCGTCTGAGAACGGAGAGTGGTCTGGGAAGGCCGGGGAAAGCTCATGCGGCTCCAGCTGATGGCCCTTGCTCAAGGTCCCATGGCGGCCCGCTGTGGCTCCAGGAGGGGCCGCTGCCTGCTGGAGCTGGTGGCAGAGGCTGTTGAGGGGCGTACTCTGCTGTCCACCTGGACAGGCGAGTGGCTTCTCTGTGGGGTGTCTGAGGCTGCGGGGGCTGGACTGGGGGCCGGGGAGGGGAAGTGCCCTGCCCCCTCCTTCTCTCTCCCTCTTCCTCCAAGGCCTCACGCACAAACACACAAGCTGCACAGACCCGAGGTGGGCACTTGGCGAGGGGTCTGTCAGCCTGAGCCCCTGCCCCATCCCTGGCTCCCGGCTGATCAAGAAATAAATGCAGAAGTCAGAGAGGGAGGAAAACAAGGACTTTAATTCTGGCAAGGCTGGGAGAGGGTCTGACTGCCCCCCACCCCCTCGGCCAGGCTGCTCCAGGGGCATGGAGACCTGTTGGTGGGTGGGCTGGCCCTGAGGGAGAGGACCCTTTGCCTGACTACACCCAGCAGAGAAGCCCTCCTTGGCCAGAGGAAGGAAGGATGACAGCCCAGAGTCCTCTCTGATGGCAGCCTGAGCAGGGCCACCTTGAGGGGGCGGGCGGCAGGCAGGGGAGGCTTCCTGGAGGAGGCACCCTGTCCACCCAGAGACTGGCAGCTGCCAAGAGCTGGCTGTGTGTCAGCACCGGGTGAGCTGGGCAGGCCAGGCCGTGGTGGTGCCCGCTGGGCTCACTGGTAGTGGTTAGGGGCGGACAGCGTGTTGTGGCAGCTGCAGGACATGTCCTCGTACACCACACACACCGCAGCCTTATTCCTCGAGCAGCAGAGCTTCTTGATCTGAAAGACAGAGCCGGTCATCTCCCAGCCGGACCTGGACCCCCAGGGCTCCTCGCTCTGGGCGCTCCTTTCTTTAACACACACCCCTTGTTAACATGAGCACCAAGACGCAGCTGGGCTTCTGGGCTTGCCTGAAGCTTGGTTCGCCAGGGACCTCGCCAGCCCCGGGTCTCCTGCGCTGCCCAATGGCATGTGAGCGGCTTCCCCAGACCTGGGGGCCGGGCAGAGCCCAGGGGCAGCGCGCTGGATGGGGGAGGGTGGCCGTCACCTGCCCCCACACCTGCACCTGGACCAGAGCTGAGCGGCAGGCCAGTCCCTGCAGGCGGAAGCCTTTGCTGGTCCCCTGGCTGCTGCTCTTGCTCCCCTCCACTGTCCCCACCCCCGTGCCCCTGCCCCACCTGCCCTGCATCTTTACACTCCGTCCTGGCTCCAGTTCCAGGTTTCTCTCCCGCCCTACCGTGCCCGTCTACACCGAGAGCTCCCTGGAGACCCTGCAGGAGAGGGTGCTGTAGGTGCTGCGGTTTCCCGTGGGGCCGGCTCTCTGGGGCTAGAGTCCTCTCCCTCCCTACTTCCGCGCTCTTNTTGAGCCTGAGAGAGAGGCGAGTGGGGCTGGGGTGCGAGAGGAGCTTCAGGAGGTCCCAGCTAGGGGTGTCGCCTGAGCCGGCACCTGCCCACGACCTAGAGACCCCAGAAGGCTCGGAGAGGCCCTGGACACTTTCCACCAGACAGCAGGGCAGCCCAGACAGTCTGCAAAGTGACAGCAGCTCTCAGTCAGGTGGCCAGCCCAGCATCCCACTGTCCTAAAGCCCCCAGGGCTCCTTTGCAGGAGCACCTGTTCTTTCTTCTGCTGCACCCTGGGGCTAAGCCCTCCAGGCTGAGGGGGCCCGGGGCTTGGCCCATGGTGGGGAGCCTGGCAGGGTGCTGTCCCTGCTGACCCAGGCTCAGCAGTCCCCAACATAGCCCGGGCTCTGTCCGTCTCCCTCCCTCTCCACCGCCCCTCCCCCCACGCCCACCACCAGCCCCCCAGGCCACCGTCCCCAGCTAGACAGTCCACTCTTTGTGGTGAGGCAGAGGCTGCAGGAGGGAAGGAGAAGTGGAAGTGGCGGCGCGTGCGGACCCCACGCCACCCTGTCCTGGGAGCAGCAGAGGACTGGGGGATTTTCTGCAGATCTAAGGCTCTGTGCTTCCCAAGCAGGAAGAAGTGGTTGGGGTGGGGGTGGGGAGCAGGAGCCAGCAGCAGTGTGTGTGTGGGGGGGTGGACCTGGCAGTGTCTGGGGAGGAGTGGCAGGCGGGGGG